TTATGTAATCCTTGCATATGATTTTGGATTAAGCGAATCTCAAATCTCTAGAATTTTTAAAAATACTGTAAAAAAACGGCAGAGATACTTAAAGGGTTGATAGTCTGGCCTTCGAAAGAAGAAATAGCACCAAGTCTTCCAATTCAATTTCGATTGAAATACAGAAAAGTTCAATCGATAATTGATTGGTTCGAAATTCAACGAGAACATTTAACTCGTGTAGTACACCAGGCTGCAACATGGTCAGACTATATGAAGTATAATACTTGTAAATATCTTATATACATAACTCCTGATGGATTGATAAATTTTATCTTCTACGAATACGGCGGTCGCTCCAGTGGCATCGAAATTGTCAAAAATTCTGGTTATTTTTCTGTTCTCCCTTCTGGATCGTCTATTCTCGCAGATACAGGATTTAAACAAATTGAAACTTCGGCGACCTCCTTCGATCTAAACAGATGTGAAACCTCCGAAAGAAAAAGTCTTGAAAACGATACAAATTGCAAGTGTTAGAATCCACGTAGAGAGAGTAATCAGATGCCTGAGAGAATTTAAAATGTTGCAACCACATGTCACGGCCGATCAGAACTTACTCGATCTGATGGACGATATAGTACAGGTGGCCGCTGCATTCGTAAACTTACAAAGCAAGATAATAACTTGTTGATTACAAAAATTCAGACTCATTGAGATATGAGCGAGCATATGTAATAAGAGTTGTGGAAGTTGTCTTCGAAGGGCAAAGGACGTTTCTGATTCCCAAAATGCTGAGTCCTGCTGAATTAAGGTGTTGGTCAATCGAGGGTCGAAATCTTTCTCAATGATAGTTACACGTTTTATTATGGGAAAACGTGGATCAGCGATCCAAAATTTAGCTTGCTGTTTCTCTGCAAAAAAAATTTGCAACTGCATTTGTGCTCTAAACTTAGGATTTACAGTGTTGTTAGAATAATAATTGCAGACAATTTCCACTTTCATCGGGTACTTGACTTCAACGACAGCAGTTTTTGTTATACCATCGGGCGATGCTTCAAACCATGGGTACTTAGGTGATAATAATAAGCCACATTTCGATATTTTCTCTCCGATTAACTCTTTTACAATCTTGATCTCTTGACATCTGCTTCCAACTCTCTTCCCCTCGCCATCGCATCAGTATCTATCGTTTTTACTCCCATGATTTTTTTCTGTTGTACAAGAACGACTGGTCTCGTAGAGAATTGAGGCTGTCGTTCGGCCATATCTCATCTCATACGTTGGTGCCATTAGCAACTGCCGCACAATCATCATAGATATAACTTTTCTGACAAAAGTTCAAAAATGCATCGATATCATGACGATTGCCAGAATATCTCGAACCTAAATGTTGGAGTGAGATTTTCTCCCAACTGGTCCTAGGTTAGAAAAATTGAAGAAGATGATTTTCCTTATCTTCCTCAATTCGTCGTTCTATTATCCTCTGTACAAATTTATTGAAGTTGCTCCTTGTAGATGATTTATTCCTTTTGATTCTTTCACTATCTCCCCAATGGTCATACATTTTATTTTAGATGCCACGGAAGACAACCTTGACTTCTTCCAATAATACTTGATTTCAGTGGGGGATGGCTCTTCCGACCTCCGATGTAACCAAGCCACAAAAGCAACTACGTGCTTGCATCCACCTGAAAAATGGGACCTCACGATTTGGCGCCAACAAAATTTCAGTCATTGACTAGTTTAAAAAACATAAAGTTTACTAGACCGTTCGAAAAAATTCAGAAGAAATTTTTCAAAAATAAAGGGTTAAACTGAAAAGGGGGAAATCATTTTGATAAATGAAAAACAATGGAATTCTTCGGACAACTATGAAAATTATTGGTCATTGGAATAGTCAAAGGGTCAAAGATGATTACAAAAATGATTATTAAAAAACTTCAAATTTTTCAATGAACCGAGTTTTCAAGGGAGGGAGAGGAATATTGTTCAAAAATTAGAAAAAATCGTCCACCCTTTAATCCTCGAAACGTACCTGCCGGCTTTGACACCTCTGTTTTCCGCGCTCTGACCCAAATTTGATCTTGAAAAAACTGCGAGCATTTCTACATCCACTTTTGGTAGATTCTGAGAAGACGCTTTTTTAAAATTGGTTTCTATTATCATTCTCATTCTCCACAGCACCAAAGAAATTCGCTTCACAAAAAAACTGCCATTGATTTATATTTAAAAAGATAACCCCTGCTGTTTGTTGACACCGGTTGACGTTTAGACAAAAATCAGTGCTGTTATCTAGTGGTTGCGATAATCTGCTGATCACGTCACGAGCATGAAAACGTGGTTCAAAATTAAGCGATTTTCGATTAATTATTAAAAAAAAACTGCAATAAATTAGAATGTATTTTCCGTTGGAGAGTATTCCATAGGCGTTAAACTATTTATTGATACATTTATTTCTCAATGCAAGCATGCAAGTTCCCTATTGGTTGTTTTCAAAGAATTTATTCAACTAAATATTTAACAGTAAAAACCCCATATGTGTTTGCGACTATTCTTACAATCGATTTTTTCGTTTCAAACCCATTTTTTTTTGTTAAATTAACTAAATTCTGCTCTCAGTGTAGTGTAATACAAAAAGAACAGAAAGTTTCTGAGCAAACCGTCATATAATGAAACGAAATATCAGTATGTCCAGCTTCATCATCGATTATATGGAGTAACAATTATAAAAAGAACCAGACAACTACTTCAATGGTGACCATTCAGCCTAAAAGCATTGAAGGTGGAAATATCAAGAAGACAAGAACTGGAAACCACAAATCGTCTAAAAGAAGCCTCACACATACAGAGACATTTCAAAGGACATTCCTTTTCGTTATAGGGGATCAATGGCTAGATCATTCTCCAATGATAACACTAGATGGGAAGGGCACCCGAAGAAGGAACCTCGTTTGACATCCAAAGAAGGAAAGTACCTTAAGGATAAACCACTTCAACCACGGATACTCTAATATCGACAAAAGGAAACACCCCTGGGTTACAGCCGCTTAGTTTGGACCATGACATGCCCAACACTCCGTGCCCAAGAAAGCTATGAGATGTTTTCCTGAAATTGCCACAATGAGCGAAACGATTTCTTATTGACCAAATGGAGGGAATCTCTTGCTTCGAAGTCCTTCGAAGGGCTTCATTCGAAACGTATGTGTTTTAATGAACCATAGTTTTCCGTAAAAAAAACCCCGAACCACTGCCTCCAACGAAACGCACAAATATATAATTCTTGATAACAGACGAATATTAATTGGACAAAGGCAGATGCGCGACTGACTGTCTTAGCTCAGAACAACTCTCCCATTGAGTTCGAGTCCTGCTATGCCAGATTGCCTGTACCTGGTCTGAAATCGAATAGTTCGCGATCACCACATAGTACCCTGCCCGTCGTTTCATACTGCAAGGCTAGTTCTGCGGGACCACCGTTTCATTATCACGACTGTTCTAAAACCTGATAGAACAGTGCAGGTTTTTCCATGTCAAGCAGTACTAAACTAGTGGATAATTCAGTGGACAGTTGGGTTTATTCTGAATGGACAGTTGGGAATCATCATCGCCATCATCATCAGAGAGCCGCCGACAAAGAGCATAAGTGCCACATTCCCTCCGAACCCTCGTTCATCAGGAGACAAGCTGTACTGCAACATCTGGGTAAAGTTTATCTTCAATAACGTCGACCCTTGATTATGAGCCTCCATTTCATCCTAGCCTATTAGAGGGCAAGAAAGTTTCTGCGAGGCCTCTACTAAACGGCATGGGCAAGCTTCCTGAAATAAGCCCATTTTGCCGATTTTCCTCTGACTTTATCAGCAACGTCAGCATTCACCAGCGATCTTCAGAATCTTCATCGACATAATTAAGGAGACGTTTTCAGCACACTTCACTTCACCGGTGTCAGCGAGACTAACATTATTGGAGGTTTCCCGAATCTAGTACGAAGAACAAACACCGCTTTATGGTGTCCTCCCTTGCGCCACCTTTTTCTACCACCATACGTGCCATGAACAGCACAAGTATTAAACACCAGCACTAACACTAAGACTTTCTTAAACTATTGCCTACCTCTATCGTTGGTGTTACGCTGCATTTTACTTGAGACATGATTTTTTAGGCTCGTGTGAGGATTGCAATACCAGCCAAAGGTGAGTTTTACAATCGCACGACTAAAAAAACACCATAACTTACGAGTTTCGTGTTTCTACCACGCGTAACAAGATTAGAATGGTGGGCTTCGCGGGACCTGTGACATTCAAGACATCACAAGGTCAATTGGTTCAACAATAACTTCGGATAAATAAATATATTAATCGGTAATGGTTGAGGAGCTACTTTGCAGGGACAATATGCTAAGTTTTGTCCGATTCCGTTATATTTCTGTAAAATCAACTTAATAGCACGCCTCGACAGTGGAAAATAATCGGTAAAATGATGGTGGAGGAAGATTTTGAAAAAAAATGCTGAACAAACATAGTCCATTTTTCCGATTTTCCTCTCACCAACAACGTCAGCGATCTTCAGCATCTTCAGAAAGATGGGTTCGGAGTGCTACAATGGTGTTACAATATAATACCAATAATGTGACAAAAATTACACATTATTATCTGAAATTTGACCGTTTTTTCATTTGAAGTTTTGTAAAGATCGTATGACAAGTAATGTTTTCACAAGTAAAAAAACATCACATCTTCACGTTCCACGACCTGTGCTACTCACTGGTAACCTATAAGAATGGTAAAGTTTCTCAATCTTCTATAAAGAGACCATTTTTCAATTTTAATGCCAGAAACATTACTCAAAATTAGACTAAAAATAGTTTTGTGGTAACAAGGATGTCTTGTTATGCAATTTCAAAATGCTCACTAACTTAATGGAAATTTCCAAAAGGGACTAACATCTCTGGTCAATTACATAGCATAACGATGAGGAGCACTTTTTCGGTCGAGACCTAATTAATTGAACTATTTGAATACCTCGACGAGCCATCTGCGGAGACAATCATGGTGGACAGTACTAACATCTCCCCTGCAGTGGCATGGCTGGATTAGGGGTCCTGCGTCCTGTGTGTCACTGTCATAGCAGATCCAACAGTCTTTGGCACTTATAGATTGAATGTCAGGTAACAATTTGCCATCTGGAAGATCTTTTTTTTCCTGGAGCTCAATTTCTTTGACTTGTTTTTCCTGACTCAAGTCTAGGCGTTTTAGGATTCTTTTTGGGTTTAAGATCCACAATTGCTCTGGGCTGAAATGTCCAACATAATAAATTCAATGCATTATAATTCATTCCCATTTCAATTTTATTTAAAGATCAGGCTTTATTTCAACTACGATTATGTGACGAATAATTGAGTTATAAATTTATATTAAAACATTGAGTTGTTAAATATTTCGAATTTACTTTAGGTTTCCAACTCGAAAACTTAACCTAAGAGAGAGATTATGGATGCGTGCGCTGCTTAGAATGTTAGGTGGCGGAGTGAGGGGTGAATTCGGGAAATAGGGCTCAAATATCATCAACGAAAATAGAGCAATAACTAGACATTCTCTACCACGGCTAATTTATTGAACTAAATCCATGTGAAAGAAACGTAAATAGTTCCCAGTTAGCTGAGATCGATGGTATCGAATATTAACCCGCCGGAATGGTTGAATACTGTGACGAGGCACTCATCTAGCCCCTCCTTCAGCCGCCTAATGATCATTTAAATTATTTAGATTAAGTTAGACTAAGTAGCATTAGGAAAAACACGGAGACAGGTTAGGAAACCTGTCACCGTTGACTCCCACTCCCGAAAAGTTCGTTCCCCTTGCCCTGTGCTTCACTCACCCCTACACCAGGGCCCGGCAACCTTCAGGTAGTCGGGAGCCAGCCTATTACTAGGGTCGGGATAATCCTCTCATCCTAATGAGTACCCAATTAGACAACCATTGTGAGCGAATAAGTTCCAGTAGTGACAATATTGCAGCCAGCCACGTAGAGTGGTGTGCCAGTCGCATAAAAATGGCTGACCCGCCAGGATTGGCGCAAATTTTCAGTTTCAAATTTTAAATAAAAAATAGAAAAATTAAAATTTACAATGAAAAACCCTCAAGAATATATTTAGGAATTGGTTTTTGGTAATTATTATTTTCCTACCAAATAATGCCACTCTAAGTGTGAAAACTACACATAAGCCACGGTTATTTTTGGAAGATTCTATTATATATTATATTATATTCCTGATGGTTTTTTTCATCTCAATTTCAACCAATCAAATGCTGGCATTTTCCGTCACGTGGTAGAAGTAAAACGGTTTTACTTGGGATATTTTTCGAATATTTCCTCGTTTGTTGCTAAGCAATGACAATATCCAATAAACAATTGGTACGCGTTTCAAACCCCAAAACTGGCATTAGAAAAAATGAAGTTCAAAGACTTTACCTCGACATGAGCAGATTTGGAGGAGAATCCTTGGAAATTATTGATCAACAAATTGAAAAAAATTGAAAATTGAGATTTCCTAATAGAACCGTTTTACTGTTACCATATGAAATGTCACACAGTTAATTGCTTGAAATTGGAATGAAAAAAAAATCCAGCCAAGTCCCCCTCGACCTTGAAAATTGATCGGATATTTCCCGAGAGTTTCGTTGCGTATTTTATTTTATTTGTTTCATTGCTGCAAATATCGTCTGGAGATAAAATAATTGTCAAGGCAGATTCCTCATCATGAAAACATCGAAAAAATAATTATTCCTCATATTGCTGCCTATTTCGAATAAAGAGAATTATATTTATAATTCACATTGATGGAAAATCAAAATTCCCGCTCGATCGCACGGTGGCCCTCTGCCGGTATCGGTCGAACCAGAGCTCAAGCAGAGAGAGATATCGAATTAGAGCAGGTAGTTGTGTTAAGTGGATGAGGCCCCTCTCCCAGCTCTGACTAACGAAGCTCGGGAGCCGCGTGAGCCTAATGAGCCCAGGTTGCCGGGCCCTGCCCTACACTCACAACCATCAACGACATCGCCGGCAGCAGTGAGAACCCCCCACCCCCCACCACCCCAGCCGCCGTTCATCTCGCCACCCCATGCAGTACAGTGAGCGATAGCTAAAATCCCCCATTCCGACGTCACAGCCCACGCGACCCGGCAAACGAAGACGTCCTTTGATGATCCCCCCCGGAATGAATAATGAAGACGAGGACACTCAATGACGAGTGACCTCGATTGACCTCGATTATCGCCGATAATCGGGGAACACGAGAAACAAGTGAGAATACGCCATCACTTGTTATAGAGCTACCCCGTGCGTCAGAGTACTTTTTGAGGAGTAAAATCGAGGATATTGTATGGTTGCGTGAGAAGTTGGAGGATTTTTGTTTTAAAGATTGTGAGAAAATAGTAAAGTGACGAGATCGTGTGGAAAAACCGTTGTGGAAAACCCAGGAGTGAAGATAACGAGGAGAAGGCCAGTGTGTGGAGGATTATCGGAGAATCGGACGACTGGGAATTTCGAACAATCGCCGCCATCACCGTGAGTCCCTTTGATTTCCTTTCCCGCCCCAACAAGAATCCCGAAGCCCTGAGTAATAATATCCCCCCAACGGTGAGCCTCCAATCTCGGTATTTTCTGTTGACAGTAGGGATATTTTGTGCATAATCAACCCCCTATTATTACACAGTTCAGACGATTCCCCCTAACTTCACCCCTTTCTGTCTTTAGCTTCTCCTCCCTTTTCTTTTTCTTTTTGTTTTTGTTTTTCTTTGTCTTTTTTTTTTATTAATTACCTACTGTGTCGCAAGTTGGCTGGCCTTACTCCCACCCTTGAGTTATTAATCAAAAGACCCGGATTGTATTTTTTATGGTACAGTTTTGTCAGTTTTTTTTTGTATGAAAATCAGCAAATAGATAATCAATTTACCAATTTCCCCGAGTAATCATTGAAACTCTCCCTTTCACCTTCTTATTTCAGATCCCGTACACGACAGTACGTTTCCCTAATTTTCTTTTAGAATATTATTCCCTAATATCGTGCCTTCGCCGGCAATTAATCTATTATAATTTTCCGGCCAAGGTCACAATACCTTAAAAGACATCTCCCGATGCTGGGAATTTTTCCCTAGAAATTCGGGAGCCTCTTGGACTCTAATAAAGTAGTAACTTGAGCAGCGAAAAGCCTGCCTTTATTTTAATTAATTCAATTTGCACGTAGATGCTCAAAGAGAGTCTGCAAGACTTGGTGAGAGAGATGGAGATAATCTGTGAGAGAGACAGCAATACGCCCGTCTTACACGTAGAATATTAAAATTTTTCCCAATGGTTTTATTTTTACGATCGTACGATACTCGAAACGTTCATCCGATGGATCTCTGACGAAATCCACCACCAAGGGGGAGAACTTGCGAACACCCTCCCGAAATTGGGGAATTCCACCGTGTCTGGGGACAGATATCGGAATTTCTCCAATGCCGTTGGGCCAGAGGTCTCGCTCAACGGGGAATGGAGTGGGAACAATACTCGGGGGGTGCTAGCACTCGCAGCCAGACCGTACATCCCGAGCAGATTTTACAAAACCGAAATCTTCTAACCCACGCTGAATGGTAATAATTATTACCCATCTTCGTGGCGCGATAAAAAAAAACCGACGCGATTTCTTCCTAAATAACGATTCTTTGTAATTAATTATCGATTCCGACACCCTGCTAAAATTTCCTGATTACCTGCAATTCTCCAATTAACAAAACAACTCCCCGCACAATTTGTCTGCAGTAGGCGTAACTTCCGGACGGTCCGGTGTAAATCGCGATATTTGTGTTAACCCATGGGCGGAATCGCAGGTTGAGCGCGGCTCTCTACTGGTTCTCTCCAGACGTTCTCTCCAGACGTTCGCTGCACATCATACTATACCATAACATGATGTTGGTTGATGAGCAGCAGAGTCAGCTGGATAATTCACCTATTGTTTCTGATGATATTGTTTCAATTATTTTTCTTCTTTCCAGCACAATCAATCCTATGTCTGAGGTAACAGAGAAGTAAATATACTCAAAAAAGATAATTTTTTATATTTTACAGGTGACAGTCGCAATTTTTCGGTATTTTTAGGAATTTCTAATGAAATAATAGCTTTACAGACAAGCGCCGAAAATCGAATTAATTAAGAGAGTAATGACTTATTCATCTTCGCTCATCCAACGCTAGGCAAGAGATTACTCACGTTTCAATTATATCGCTCACGAACCAGAGTAACAACTAGACCAGAGTACAAGTATCTCACATCCCAAATCGTGGGTTATAAAAATCAGTATAATAGAAGATTATATCGCCAAGCTGACGCCAGAGCGGTCACCGAAAGAAAGATGTGATAAATACCATGCGACGTGCTACGGTGAACCATCCAGGTGCGCTCTAGACAGACGAGTATGGAGGAAACATTTGTCGATGCTCCACGCCTCGAAAATCTCAATAGTCAAAAAAGGAACTAAAAAACGTGCAAACTCCTACGCCTGAAACTCCATTGAATCTAATCGCCCTGGCAGAGCTATGCTGAAATGCATCAAAGGACCTACTGTAGAGTTCGGGCGTGAGCAGCGTAAGAAAAACTGTGAATGGAAAAAGAGTGTATTCTAACCTAAATCGTCCGTTGTATACGAAAGATTCGTTCATTTGTGAGGTACGGCACTGCTCCATAGAATAAACTTAAATTTTGTATTCTAATAAAAACAAGTGGAGAATTGATCTTATATCGTATATCATATAGTTGTGTTTGCTAATAAATTAGCAATATGCTTCCGAATGGTTATCTTCCATATTATTTCTTCCTTTCACAAATAAATTTTCATTTTTATTTTATTAAATTGAGTGCTTCCGTAACAGTTTACTTTTACAACCGAAAATAAAATAGTAATTTTTTACGTTTAAGAACTTATTTTTCGTGAGCTATTAGCGGAGGTCGAAATCGAGATAAAAATCTTCGCCTCTATCCACCAAATAAGGCCGAGAGCTACCGTGTACACGATACAACAGCCCCTTCTATTATATACAATCCATAAAATACAAACGCCACAAGTTACATGAAATCTGGGAATAGGTAGATCTTATAAATCGCCTCCAAGCTTTTCGTTGATGTAAGTTTTCCTTTTTTTCGATTAATATTGCCAAGCATACGACGATGGCAACGGACTCATTTCACTATTTTCCCGATTTCTATCATCTTTCGGTTACATTGAGGTCACTAAGTTAGCAGCAGTTCGTTCCAA